CTGTCCTTCAGCTCCCCCTGTCCTTCAGCTAGCCCTGTCTTTCATCTCCTCCCTGCGTCTTATCCTCCCCTGCCCTTCATCCCTCCCTGCCCCTCATCCCTCCCTGCTCCTCATCCCCCCTTGCTTCTCTTCCCCTCCGGCCTTCATCCTCCCTCCCTTGCCCCTCGTCCTTCCCTGCCCCTCATCTCCCCCTGTCCCTCATTCCTCCCTGTCCCTCATCCCCTCCTGCCCTGCCCTGAGCCCCTCCCCAGTGCTCTCTGCCTGTGCCCTACGCTGTCGCAGAAATTGGGGGTGAGGGTGTCCCCGGTGGGGGTGGTCAGGCCTGGTTTGAGGGAGTTGGGGTGCAGGTCAGGTTGAAATAATGTGGGGTTTAAATGTTGTTTAATTTCTCACAGGGTGTTTTTCTTCCTCGGGGTATCGAGTGAACAGTGATGGAAAGCCAGAAAAGTTCCAGCCACCTCCCAAGCCTGTCATTATTGACAAGCAGAAGCAGAGGGAGGAGAGGAGGTAAGGTGCCCTGGTGCTTACTTGAGCTTGTACAAACTCACCTGGGCTTGTGTCCAGGTCTGCTGCCAGACTGGTTATTGTGTGAGCTGCTCCTGAAAGCATTATTGCACAAAAAGCATTTGCAGTGTTCTATGGAAAACCATTTACATTGACATATGTTTAAAACACCTTAAAATACTGTGTTCCAGAGTTTCTCAAAGAAGTGGAACATGACAAAAAATGTACACCAGCAAACACTTCTGCAAATTTGGAGTGAATTTGTGAACATCTCTTCAGTGTGCCACAGGGTGACAGGGACGTGAGTCCTGTGTCTGCCTTTGCAGTAGATCTTGAGATCGGTTGTGAGCACAGGCATCCCTGTTTGTGAAATGGAGCTGATGTCAGCAGTGTAACCATGAGGTATTTTGTTCTGGGTATTTTTTATGTCACTTCAACCCATTTCACAGAATGGTTTGGGTTGGAAGAGACCTTAAAGATCATCAAGTTCCAACCCCCTGCCTTGTGCAGGGACACCTTCCACTAGACCAGGTTGCTCAAGGTCCCATCCAGCCTGGCCTTGAACATTGCCAGGATGGGATAACCACAACCTCCTTTTTGGGTTTTAAACCCAGTTTGCATTGCTTTAAATGACACAGTGGTTAAAACTGCAGTGCTATGTTTGGGAGGAGATTGGTAGTATTGTATTGTTCATCTTTCCTCCAAAAAAAACCACCAAGCCCGTAGCACGTAGGCAGCCTAGGAATGAGAAAGGTATTAAAATCAGACTATAAAAACTTCCACTCTGTCCTCAGACCTGTTAGTGGAAATACCTGTAAGAAGTGAAGAATCAATGTGGCTCTTCTAAGAAATGCAGTGTGGGATGTGGCAGCTGGAGAGTACAGGGAGCTACATCATTTAAATAACATTTTATTCTCCTGAGACTGTGCAGCTTTGAAGACCATGAGTAGGTTTGGTGGTGTTTGTTGTCTGTGCAGCTGTATGTAGGTAGCAGCACCAACCAGAACTTCCGTGCTGCCACACTCATTGGCCTGTGCAGGTTTTCATGTCCTCCTTCTCTGTTTTGGGCACTTCCCTTCTGGCCAGATCCAGGATTTTTAAGATACATCTGTACCAATGAATTAAGTGAGTCCAGCTTCATCCTTAAGCTCGTAGGCCAAACATTCTTACCATCCAGACCAGAGTGACCACATCCAAGCAGTCTGTTGGAAGTGGTCCTCAGCTCAGGCCAACCCATGTCATATAACTGAGGTCCAGGGCATGAGGAAGTTCCTTAATATGGTTTAATTTATTGGAGCGGAAAATAGCTTTAAGAACCTTTAAGCTTCTCTAAGACAAAAGGACATTTATGTGGTATCTCCTGTAGAATCTATTTGTAAAACCTGGTGATAGATTGTTCCATATCTGTGACTATGAAGTCATCCAATAGTAGGTGTTCTGCCATGTGGGTTACAATTAAACCATGAAATAATCTGTTCCTCAGCTGTGACAGCTTTTTGGATAACAAAAAAAGTAATAAAATTGATGACTTCACAAACTGCAGTTCATATCTCTGAAAAGGCAAGTGGTTAACAGCTAGTAATTTTTAGGCCAAATACTTGGACTTCTCTGGTACTTTATGTGGAAATGCTTTTGTTTCATACTTTTAAAAGTTTGGCTTTTCTTACAGGTTCCTGAGCCCTGAATTTATACCTCCCAGAGGGAGAACAGATCCTCTTAAATACTATATGGAAAGAAAGGACATGATACAGAGAAGAAAAGTCTTCAACATCCCAGAGTTCTATGTTGGTCAGTAACAGCACCAAAGCTTTCATAAGTCTGTCAGTATTTTACATTGTGTGGGGTGGTAAAAAACTGTGGTCAGATGTAAAATAGCATAAAACATCACAGTATCAGGTGTGTGAGAACAACTAGTATGTGTTTCTCTACGTAGTACTTCATATTTTGATTTCATATTTGCATCCAGACTCCATTGAAAGTATAATACTAATGTGTTTCTGATGTGGCTTTTTTTTCTATCCTGGCACTTGCCATATGGTTTACGAGTAAAGGTCGAGAAAAAAAAGCAATCATTCGATTATTTATATTCAGTTTGGATAGTGAAGAGTAAAAAAATAAGTGTGGAGAAGGTTCATAGTTAACCTATAGAATCACTTCAACATATACTAATTCAGGGCATGTTAGAAGTTTCTTCTGTTTCTTGCAGTTTTGATGGACAACAAAACATTTTCTAAATGTACCTAAATACGTGCACTTTGCCTGACTCTTCCCACATTCTGGTCTGTATTAACTTGAACAGCCCATATGTTTTTTGGCAGGCAGTATACTGGCTGTGACTACTGCAGATCCATATGCCAATGCCAAATCCAACCGGTTTGTTGGCATCTGCATCCAGAGAGGAGGAAAAGGACTCGGCGCTACCTTTGTCCTTCGGAATGTTATAGAAGACCAAGGTGGGTTTTTAACTGTGGGAATTATGCTACAAGTGTCAAACAAAAAATGTCTGAGTTGTAGAAATTTAGTCTGTGGGGAAGATGACAACAGGTGAGAGTGAAATCGTGACTCTGCCTGTTAGGGTGTCCTGCAGGTTTACAGCTGTGTAAACAGATGTTAATGTGCTCTGTATTTAAAGGAACTGCTTAGTCATTTTTTTTGTCCAGATACTTCGTGATTTTTAGACATTCCATGATGGTTGTACTTGTATTTGAGCCTGGGCAATGTGCTGCTAGCTATGTAAATACCAGCCCAGTTTGAGCACTGCGTATTTGCATGAACTAGGGATGTATGTGTGAACTGTTTAACCAGCAACAGAGTAGCAGAGTTTTATCATAGGTTCGTATTCTGGTTTATGACAAAATTGAGGGTGATGCATATAGTGAAGTTCTGAGAGCAATTATGAAGGGGTTGGGTGTCTCTTCGTACACACTACACATACACTGAGAGGGATAGTAACAGCCATTGTAACCAAAAGGGAGTAAAGTTTAAAACCCAAGCTCATCTTTAAATTCAAGCCATTCCATGTCTCTTAAGCCATTCTGTTATCAAAGATTTGACTTCCAAAAGAGATCTGCATGTGCCTGTGCAGACACACTGCACAAGTACAATCACATGTGCACACAGCACTGCAGTTCTCTGAGAAAAGCAGTTCTGCAATGACACAGGAATGTGTAACACTGAAGAAATACTAATTAGGTGTTAGTATTTCTAATTAATTTGGTTCATTAAACCAGACTTTCTCTCTCTAAGGTGTTGAAATATGTTATGAACTGTACAACCCTCGAATCCAGGCGATCGAGGTCCTGAAGCTGGAAAAGAGACTGGATGACAACCTGATGTACCTGCGAGATGCCCTCCCTGAATACAGCACTTTTGACGTGAATATGAAACCTGTGCCTCGTTTGGACCACGAAGAAGTTCCTGTAAACAAGGTAGGAGCCACATATTCCAGGGGGAAGGCAGAGGATTATTTAGGTAGCCTCCCTGAAAGGCTGTATCTAATGTAGCTCTTTGCTACATTAGTTACCAGGGGGACAGAAATAGATAGAACAAGTCTTTGTGCCATTTCTACAGTGAAAGAATATTGAGAATATCAGTACCTGCCATCCTCAGGTATTGATAGTTCATTTTGAAGACATGCAAGGAGTAGCAGCCTCTACCTGCCTCTGTGTAACTCTGCAGAGGAGAAGGCTTTTCTTGCAGAAATGTTATTATTAATGTGGTTACTGATTCAGGAGTGGCTGGTGTCAGGAAACAATATAAGATGGAGGAGGGATCTAAAATCTCAGAGAAGATCCAGAAACCACCAGACCCTGCCAGCGTGTTGAGTAGGAACTCAGTAACTTATAGTGGTCATTCCTCCCTTTCCCTATCATACTACTTTTATTTTTCTTTAATAAGGAACAAAACTACAAAAGATAAGTTGAAACAAAGTGAAGTTAAGGACTGTGTGATAAATCAACGTGGTGTTAATTAAGAAGTTTTACAAGATACTATGACAAGTTGTGGACAAAAAAATTCCTCTTCTTGTAACAGTATAAAGTAATGGTTCCTTAACACACTGACACATCAGTTATTTTTCTCTTACTTTCTTTCTATTAGAGCAGGAGTGATCTCATCTTTTGCTAAGCTTATAATCAAAAATCTAATTACTTAATGCCTTTTAATTTTTTTTAATATCTTTCACTCTAGCTGCAGGTACGAATGAAACCTAAACCATGGTCAAAACGGTGGGAAAGACCAAAATACAATATAAAAGGAATAAAGTTTGAGCTACATGAAAAGAAAATGAAAGAAGCACAAAAGTGGAGCCAACCATGGCTGGAGTTTGATATGCTGCGAGAATATGACACTTCAAAAATAGAGGAAAAAATTTGGAGAGAAGTCAGTGAAGAACTTAAAAAATAATAATTTTTTTGCAGTCTCGGAATTACAGAGATAATATTTTTAGTTTACTACATGGATGATCCGTTGTCAAGTTTTGTATATACATAGTTAAAGCAAACAATAAAGTTAACCTTTCCAGAGGATTTCAAAGTGCACAGACTTTTGTGGTTGAACATGAATTTTCTGTTCTTGAGAGCAGACAGTCCTTTTGCTGAGGAGTAGAACACATGTTCACCTCTTTTCCAAAGTGAGAAACTTCCTTTTTTTAAATTACCATTACCAAGAGGGGTTTTTAGCACCCAGTCAAGTTAGCTGTAGCAGTAACACTCATCTGCTAAAGGAGCAGCAAAGACAGAGTGAAGAACTGTGCCTCAGTTCACTGCCTGACTCTGCTGTTTAGGTCAAATCACGTCAATTAGCATAAGGTTCATGAGGAAACGTTTGCAGTGGCAGTGCAGGTTCTCAATACTGGGACAGCTGATTTCATCAAACTCAGTGTTTCCATAGGAGAAACAGAGAGGTTCTGAGTGCAAGTGGCCACTGCCTTCGCAATGCTTACAAGTCATTACAAGGAGTATTTCTTCCAGAAACAAACAGCTACAGAGTAAAATTATCACACAACATCAGTTACATTCCTGTAATAGCACAGGGCTGGTGCTGGAGACAAGCTGGGATGAGACAAAGCAGAAGAAGATAAAAGCAACGAGTTCATGAGCTTGTGGTGATTGCTGATCAGCAGTTGCATTGTTGTTGGCATTCTGAGAGGAAAAAGAACAGATACTCATTCTTGAAAGCAGGTTAGGGGAACCTGAAAGGTCTTTTTCACACAACTTAATAACATTCTTGGCACATGTTAGAGAATTGAACTGTGGAAGTCATTAACACAGCAAAGTATTTTATTTTCAGAATAAACCAAAATTAACTGTTCGTATAACACTGGCCAAAACTATTTACAATTAAAATATTTTACAAAAATATATTTTTAACTTACAAAAATATAAAAGAAAGCATAGGGATTAAGTCTGCAAGGGTTAAATTCCAGTCCCAGAAGATTTTGGAAAAATGTAGTCACAAGTAAACATACAGAGTCTGTGATGCACAACAGTTTCTACAGTAAATCATCCTTGTTATTATGTAACAATATTTATGGCAAAGGTACAAAGTTATAAACATTACAAATCTAATAAGGATATGAAGAAGGTTCAGTAGATCTGACAGTGAAGCAAAAGGAAGAGATTTTTAGAGTTTCAGTTAGTAGAAAGTAACTGAAGTGGTTTTGTGCACACAACCATGACACCTGTGATGAACAGCCTGACTCCCCTCCTTCCTGTATCAGGGTCCAACCCCCTGCAGCATTCTGAGTTCTTTTTCACTAGGATTGGCTTAACCAATAACCCTAACAAAACATCACTGTGGGTCAAAAGTTAGCTCAATGACTGCCAGGTCAGAATGACATTTAGCAATTAATGCTGACAATAGCTTGTCAAGTTGTCTACTGGCCAGCAGTGATGAACTTCACAAGCACTTTCTACCTTCCCAGGAATCCTTCCAGAAAGGACACAGCATTAAAGCACTATCATACATTTTAGAATACCTGGAACCATTTCTTCAACAACTGAAATTTGTAAAGAGTCCTGAACCCAGGAGTAGTTGGCAGAAGACAACATTTGGAAAAATACTCTCATGTATTTAACACTAAAAACCACTACATCTTTGAGTAGTCAAGATCCACTAATTAAATTTCATATTGGAACTGGTCTAGTGTAAACAGCAGGCTTGTTTCAGTAATGTAAGTGTTGCTTCAAAAATTCCTATTTCCCAATCACTGATTTAAGGTGTTCAAGTTTATGCTCTTCAATGAAGTCTTCAACAATACGCAGAGCTCCAATTTTCACCAGCAAGAGAAGAACTTCTTTTGTTTCATCACTATTAAGAAAAAAACAATTACATGATATACCTGACTGAAGTACTTGAGGTTTCTTAAAATTAAGACTCAGGCATCTCTTCCTGACCACTTGTCACCAGGTGACCTTGGCTACTCTGATTGTTAACAGCACCCAACACCTCACACCATCACAGCAAACCATCACTGCAGCAGCACTCCTTCACACTGCAGCATCCATCTTTGGTTTTGTATATGCACGTGACAAGAACAACCTTGAAAGTTTCAAATATATAAAGCTTAAGGAAATAAAAAAAATACTTAAAAGTACTGGAGGAAGCACCTGAATCCAAGGAAAGGGTTATCTGATACCTGTGGTTATTCTTGTGTAGAGTACAGGCACACTGCAGTAAATGCTGGCACAAGTTCAGCAATTCGGGGAGAGTTGATCCACTTCTAAGATCTTGGAACCATCCTTCTGGGAGGCATTCAACCACCTGTTCACACAAAAAATGTTTGGAAAGAAGTTTTAAAAGTATTTCAACATAACCAAGTGACATCTGATGAGGACCTTCTGGCAGGTTCAGTCATTATTAGTAGTGTATTTCTTTAAAGCCAAGATAGATTATCCCTAAAAATGGTTCTGCTTAAGAACCTGCACACCAGTATTGGCTCTAAAATGCTCTTATGCACCAAAGTTATTTAAAAAAATTTTTCAGCATAAAATCTAGTTTATTTTTTTTAAATATTACATCTTGAGTTTTGACTCCCCTTCATGGAAAAAAAAAGCTTTTAGCATACACCCTCTTCCAATGTACATGTTATTGTTTACCTTATTACACTTCTCTATATTATCCAGCCCTAGAGGTGTGTTTAAGATGTTCAGGAGAAGGTAACGATTCAGCAACTTGCTCAGCGCCAAATCACGGACCTTCTCTTCTTGGACAATCCCATCCCAGAGAACAATATTGGAGAGCAGCTGCAGTGATAAGAAACAAAGAATCTGTGTATCTGGTGGCTGTTAAGTGTGCTAAAACACAGTATTACAAGGTCCATGCAAGATAAAGATAAAAATACTATGTCCATCCAATTCAAGTGCTCAAACCCCAGGATTCATGCTCTCCAAACTTACTGTCACTTAGCCTGCATATAATAAATAACCTAATTAATTTCACATGTGCATACAAACTGTACCCTAATATGTGAATATATAGCCTCCCAAGGCTGGGAAGAGCATTTCACCCTTTCAATAGCTAACAATTTGCTAAGTAGAGAAGATAACTAAGCAAACTGCCAGAGAATCCAAGACAGAAGTGAAGAAAGTTACTACATGTGCTCAGGATAAGGCTACACACAGTTCCTCACAGCATGATGAGGTTGGCAGCCACAGTTCACTGCAGCACAAAGACTGTGGGTGATAACAGCATCATTGGGCACTGACAGTTTACTTCTGTTGCCTCTATCACCATAAATCCTTACAACTGTTGTCACTTTTGAGTCTGTAAGGCTGTGTCTGTAAGGGTAAAACGTCTTCAAGTTAAGTTACCTGAAAATTAACCTGTTCTGAGTCAAGGAGGATAAGCAACATGAATAGTAGGGAAACTGAAATACTGTCTGGGATTTCAATGGGGTTTATGCATCTAAATCTCATCTTTAGTAAAAATCCAAATCTAATCCTAGAAGAAACATAACTTAAGTAGGAACTGAATCACAGGCATTCAGGAATTCCCAACTCAGTACTCCAAAAGTAAACCTATACTGGTGCTGCTCTATGAACACAGTGATTATATTCTACAATAATGGTTACTGTAACTAACACCACGGATTATAAAAATACTGTGCTGCTCTGACAATAAACACTATGTTGATCATAAAATTGTGTTAAAAAAACAATGCTTTCATTGTTCCTACAACTTAGTGCCATCATCATTCTGACCAGGATCCCCAAAAGAACCTGTCTGTCCCTGCAGTGTTGGGTGACAGAGTCTAAGATGACGTGAGGCCAACAGGCCTGGGGGATCCATTCAATGGAAAAACAATGAACCAGCAGGAACAGATGGTGAGATCAAAGTCTCTTACAAAAGGTGTACCAGTTAGGCAAACAGAAAATAAAGTGTTTGTTTGTAATTCAATCTTATATCGTAACATACAGATTGCACAGAGAACACATCCTTCACTGTGAAAAATGGTTATCTACCCTAATAGAAAAATATTAATCTCCCAGGAATTGGACTTGCTTGAAGAAATATTTCCTAACTGACTGAAAAATATTTTTTTTTCACTTAAATGAATTTCAAAGGAAAAAAAAACCAACTGAAAAACCAAAACCCAGTTCTATTTTCTCTACCTTAACAGCTGACCAAAACCGTCTTTCTTGAAATTTTGAACATAGTGATGACTTGTCTTCCACAGCACTGGTCATGGGAAAAAGAAAGAAAAGTTAAAATAAGGGTTATTTCTTGTTTGATTTAAAAGAAGATAAACAGGCATCTGATCTCTGATTAATTCCCTGCAATGTTCATCTGATACTGATAAATTCCAGAATGTTAATTGTGGAATTCCTTCAGCAGTGGCAGCCAGAACCAGAATAAGGATCCAAGCAAAGAGCTGTCAATCTGAACCCATTATAATACAACTGCTATGAAATAATTTCCAATAAAATTACCAACTGGAAAAACTCATGTCTACATTTCATGGACTCATATCAAAACAGCACTGCTTAGAACCAAACATCCTACACCAGCTGTAGCAAAGCTTATCTCCTAGCTGTACCTTAACCCCACATCTCCCAGAGTCCTACTTATTCCCATCTTTGGAACAGCATCCAGTAATCACAGAATGGTAGAAAGGGACCTTAAGGACTATTTAGTTCCACCCCCCTGCCATGGGCAGGGGCATCTTCCACTAGATCAGGTTGCTCCAAGCCCCATCCAGCCTGGCCTGAGCACTTCCAGTGGCTGTAAGAAGCATGAACAGTAAACCCCATTTTAGGAATGACAGGAGGGATCAGGGGACACATGGACATGACACCAGACCACCTAAACTAGCACAGGCCCTCAAATACAGGCTGCTGTGCTAAAACCAGACTATGGACCTCATATACTGAAAAGCTTTCAGTTACAAGTGCAGAAAAGTGTCGAGTCAGTAGAGTTACCCTTATTAGAAAGAGTTCATTAACAGGAATAAAGCTTCATACCCTTTCCTATGATAAAACCAAAGAAGGAATGTTTATCCCATTATCTGCTAATGAATGTCTACAATCTTTCATCTACATCTGTAGGGCAGAAGAGTAGAGGAATTAAAAACAACACAAGCTTAAGAGTCTCAGGGTCAGATTACCTTTTAGGATACAGAGGAATAAAGACATCTTCCTCTACAGATTTCTGCATTCTTAGGACAACTATGTTTATCAATTCCTGTTTAAAAAAGAATTCTTAATGTTACTAGCGTAATTATTTTCTTTCCTTGCAAGAAAAACTTTATCTTCCATTTGTAACAATTTCAATGGTTATTTTGTTCATCCCAAAGTGTAACATGTTAATTACAGAAAACACAGTTGCCACTTGTATATAATATATGAGAGCATGAATGTATTAAAAACAGTAGACAAATCACAGCTGCAACTATCTATACAGTTAACCTAAAGGATTTATCTTTTTTTAAGATGAAATTTTTCCCCTAAGTGAGACCTTTTTTTGCACACTCATTTGCAATGGCAGAAGGAAAGCTGTATAGATTAACAACCAAAGAAGTTATACATAAAGGATCTCCATAAAAAGGTGAAATTCTATGTAAAAAAAAATATTCACCATAGCTAGGACAGTAAGCATTTTTAGGCAACATGCTTTTAGGTGCCCTAGACTGCCACCTACTCATATAAAGTTCTAGTTTATTTTACTCTCTGTACAAATGGTATCTTGGCTAAGGTCAATTGTACCACTTGACTTCAAGTCAGAAACCTCTGGAAGGCATAAATGTTTTCTTTAAAATATTTCTTTTCATGCTCAGGGCCCAAAGATCCACCCCATTTCACCAGTTTTATACTAGATAAACCTCCAGGTTTATACCAGAATAAAACCAGAATCAAGCTCAAGGGCATGTTAAGAGTGACAGTGTATAAAGCTAATTACTAAAAGATTGCCAAGATTACAAAGTAGTTTTTCTCCTCACCAATTACCCTAGCTTTGAGAACTTTCAAGTTTTAAAATTCTAGGTCTACTTTATAAATTAAAAACTTAAGGAATGGACCAGTGGAGCATTGTCAGCATTTAAAGCTCAAACCTGGAAAGATAATTAAATGCAAATCTAAATTCTAACCATTGTTACTGTGGTGAAACAATGTTAGACGTACAGATTCTGGATAGGTACAGGCAGGAAATAACTTCTGCCTCAGGAGTGTCTCATCATCTTCAACAAGGAGAGCATAAGAGAAATACAAGCTTAACTGTTAAATATTCTTAATATAAAGTGACAAAACAAACACATCATCAGAACCCAACAGCCTGAGAATAATGTTCTCAGTGCCCATAGGAGCACACACAACATCATGTACACTGGGTGATGTTCCCCTTTCTAAGTACCACAGGAGCTTTTACCTCTCTTGCTCGACTAGACTCAATTTTGGATAGGACTTGTTTTCCGAAGATGTTATTGCAAAGCTGTACAAGGTTCTTTGTCTGTGAAGTAGATAAAGGATCCCACACACTCTTCACAAATGCTGGGGGAAAAAAAAAAGGAATTGATTTCATTCACAATATGTAAGTACTTATCCACCCTAGTCTCAAGACATCAACTAACAGAAGTAAAACATAAGCTCAGGCTCTCACAATAACCTTAGAGAGGCTGCCTCAGCCTCACCCTGTGGAACTACCTAATCACCACATCTTGGAGCACTGCTATATACCATTATTTGATAGCTATCCCTTTTATTTAAGGTTTGATTGTATAGCTGCAGTGAACATTTTCAAGACAATCTTACTATACCTGTAATTTTGGGAAGAACAGTTTTTTCAATCACTCTAGGCAAAACTTCTTGATCATGGTCATCATCCCTTTTTGACTCAGATACGTTTTCTACATTGCTGAATTCTTCTATAGCTCTGAACCAGGGCATCTCTTCCAACTCTGTAAAATTCTGCTGAAAAATCATTCCTGTTAGTTGTTCACCTGGTAGCTCCATCCAATGATACCACAGATTCCCACTTAATTTCAGATCTACCCTCACCACTGAACAGGCCAAACCAGCAAATCAGGAAAACTATATTTAAAATTAGAATTTAAAAGGTGAGATTGTTGAAGCGCCTTCAAAAAACTCAGAAGAATTCTTTTTACAAGGGCTGTTGCAAAAGGGGCTGGAGGTAAGGGGAAAGGAGAAAGCTAAGAAGATTTCATCAGATGCTTCAATTTCTAAGACAACACAGGAGCCTTCTACTAATTACTGTGCTATGTATAGGAAAAAATATTTTTCATACTAAAACATGATACATACACACAATTGCCAAAGGAAAAGTCAGCTGAGTCACTTACCTCAAGAGGATTCCAACTTATTAACTGAACTCTGATCAATGGATTTAATAGCTTAGGCAGGCAGAAACTGATATAGGCATCACAGTAAGAGTCAGGAAACTTCTCTTTCCATTCCTGGAATTTCAACAGGATTTTTCTGGTGTCACAAAAATCTGCATGTACATCTTCAAAGACTTTCCTACTATCCTCTAAAACGTTATCTATGGATAATATTCATTGGGAATAAAAAGAAACAATCACAGAATTTATTGAGGCATAAGCTGAAGAGTTTATGCATCTATAGGACATAAGAAATATCTTTATGATAATTACACTTATTTATCTTTGACACATCTGACACTGAAATGGGTTTTAAAGTCAGCTCCCTGGAAAACCCAGCTTTAGGAAAACAAGTGTCAAAAGACAACGAAAGGCAAGTTTCTTCATGATCTATTTCACAGATTTATATAACCACCATGTTTCAAATTTTATACTGCAGTAACAAGATTTCAGACATGAAAATCCTTCTGCCGTTATCTGGAGAAAGGCTATTATGCCTTTCCCTCCTCCTCTTCATCAATTCATTCACGGTAATTACAACACCAATCTTTAATTCACTCTCTACCTTCAGGAAACAAATCGATTATACAAAACACGTTGCAGCACTGCCCTGAGTACTGTCAGATCAGCTCTGGCATAATGTGACAAAGCTTGCTTCTAGTTATCCAGCCATGAGTAATGCTGCCCCCACATAACTCACACCAAAAGAAATCCACAACCATTCACCCATTCTTCCCAAATCATTGGTCAGAACTGTCAGAATGCATTTCTTTTCTACAGTGTGTAACTAAGAACATGGAACTCAAATGAAGTATTTCTTCACTTTTCCTTAATTTAAAAAAAATAAAAAATACCAGAAAGAGATTTTGTTCGAGGGCATCACATGAAGACTGCCACCAACCTTTGCTCTTCTGGAACTCATCCACCTCTGTGGGAGTCAGCTCATCATCACTCGACATGCCTTCGTGGTGATCAGCTCCTCCTGACTGCTCTCTCGCCTGCCGTCTGCAACTCCTGCATTTTGGAATGAACTCACATGAGTTATCCCCTCCCATGGATGCAGGAAGAAGCTTAATGAAAAACAGTCCAGCTTCAAAAAGCATACTTAAAGCAAATTGTAAGAGCAACAGCCTAAGGAGAGCAATGAGAAAACAACAGTAATTATGTAACTGTAAGGACACCTACACTGTGGAAGAAGGGGGTCTGGGAACCAACATAAAAGAGGTTAGAGCAACATCTCAGATCTCACCTATGAACCATGTAATAACCTTCATCTCATTCCCACTGATGAGGCTAACAACTGATCCCACCTAGAACACTGAGCACCTGGCATGGTGCTGGACACTGTCTCTGACAGTTTTAGTGTGTAGTAAAGAACTGAGCTCTCAGACTTCGACATCTCAGTTCTGGATCACTCATGCAACAACCAACCCACAAAAAAACTGTGATAGCACCCAAGTGCCAGCTGGGCTCCGAAAACTATTGCCATAGCACCAAGAACAACAGACTGCAAAATCAATAGCTTGTATATCTGCCACAGGAAAGTGACACATGATAGCAAAGTGATAGTGCATAAATACTTTCATACAGTTAATCAATCAGCATTACAAGTTAACTGCTTCAAGTTTAAGTTATTATTATACCATTTTTCATCCACTAAAATTCCAAGCAACTTGGTAGTAGTATAGTTATGAGTTGAGGCAACCATTTCAACTGTAAAACCTTCAAAGCTCCCAATAATGTAAAAAAAACTATTGGTCCCAATCGCTGAACACCATAATATCCAAAATGCTAATTAAAAAATTAATGTTAATTTAAAATAACAAGATCTATTAGCATTCAGATGCAAATCAACACGAAGAGAATGACAATAAAAAAAATGGTTTCCAAGTACTCCAAGTTTTGGAAACAAAAACAGGGTTTTTTTTTGTGTAATCTCATGTAGCAATCCTACAGGTTTATATTCGTACTGCAAGAAATGACAGGCAGTCAGTGCACAGCACATTTAGCAGAGTTAAGTGCTGTCATAGCTACCTTCGGTGCTCACACATTTCCAGAAGCTGTGTCTTCTCATCACTGTCCAATCCACCTTCCCTTGGTTTGTCATTCCCACCTATCAGAAGACAAAACCAGCCAAAAATAAAAAGTGTCATGATTTTAAAGTTCCCTTTTTTTGTTTCAAACAGGAAACACAATATCTCCTTCCACTGTTTTTCATTTAGAAAATAGCCAATGAAAAAATCAAATATCCTAATCAAAACTTTAACAGTCACCAGAGTAACTCAGAGTAAATTTATCTGTAGCACTCCTAGCTGGCTGAGATGTGCACAGCATACCAATACTGAAGTATTATCATGTAAGATAAACCAGCCTTTCCACTGTATTAAATACAAATAGGAACATACAAAACAATTATAAGTGCTCCTAAACATGCAAGCACAGTCTCATTTGTAATGAACTGGAAGTAAAACCATTTTAACAGCAACTATTATTATGGCATTACTCTTTTCTTCTTAACACCTGCTGCCAGTGTGTTATACCATTTTATGAAATCATTCAGATGGCCACTTTTTCCCATCAGCAGTTTATTCCTTGTATTGAGAAGGCTGAACCCATATGATTAGTAGTTACCAGGAACCAGTGCATCTGGCCTCCATCTGTTCCCAGCAGCTCCAAGCATATTGCTCTTAGCTTTGCCTAAACGGTTTTAAAGGGTTTGGTTTTGCAGGTTTGGGATTTTTAAATAGCAGCTAGAGATTCACACAGCATACAAACAATACACTGGTGTGGAAAGAAAATATGAGATGAGAAAACTGAAGTAATTTTTCCAACAGTGACTGAAACAGTTCTCTTTTAGATAAAACTCTTAACACTGAGTGGCTTCTTTCTTCATGTTCTGCCATATGTGTGTCACCTCCTGGTTTGATATATCCATTCTGAGCACACACACAGCCTTAAAGACACTCTCATGGAAAACAGATGTTGCCAATTAAACATTCTGCTTTTTCATATATTCACCGAGGTCCATAATAAGCAAGCTTTCTCCAACTGAAGAAACTGGGAAACTGACATGGCTGAGGTACGAGTTTCAAATGAGGTATAGTAGAACACACCTACTGAAAATGGGAAGGAGAAAGTAGATCAAAGGTGAAAATTAAAATCTTAACCCAAAAAGTAACTGCATTGCTGCTGAGAGAGTGGATGTTTCAGTAAGAAAATAACTTCTAACTTCATACTAACTTGTCAGATGCTGAATGTAAGCAGATTCACTTTTCAGCTCCTCTTGTCTTCGTTTCAGTACTTTCATGGCTTGTTGTTGAAGAAGAACATGTACAGCCCATTCCAGCTCATTAATGTCTGTCAGCTGAAATACAGTAAACAGTAATCAGGTTTTCAATTGATTAAAATCCTACAAGAATCAACAAAAAACAGTTTCCAAGGGTTCTCAGTATAGCTGTGAAATTAGAACCAAAGTATCACAGATTGAAATTTCCGGGTCATCAGAGTTTTTCAGGCTTTTCTTAAAAGGCTGAAAACACAAACTAACTACCCATCAGGGACAACCTAAGACTTCATGCAAAAGGGTTCACCTGGACCCATGAGAAAAAAGTTTTTACTATATGTGGGAGAATTTCTGATTGCTAATGGACATGTGAGCAATCCAGTCTTGCTAGCAGGGCCTGAGCAAGCTGCAGGCTAAGCTGTTCAAGGACACAGCTGCAGCTGAAATGAGAGAAAGGAGGTAGCAAGATAAGCAGCTCCTGGCTGCGGGATGCAGGAGCTGAAGATGGTTAAAGGTGGAGAACAATGATTAAGGCATTTTATGATTGATATGTAGGTGACCGATAGCATTGTGTGTAAGGTAAGCTAGTGGTAATAATTAACCAATAATAAGTAGGCAACAATATTTAGGAGGTTGTCACTTTGGTAATTATATATAGTTAGAGAAGTACTAAGAACACTTGGCATTATTTTACTGATAGTCATTATTATTAGATTAGCATATAGCTGTATTGTTAAGAATATATCCAAGATGACCCATGGAGTCTTGCTCGCACAAAAAGAAAAAGGGGGAATTGTTGAAGAATGGCTAAGGCAACAGGGGCACAGCTCCCAGAGAGCACTGTGCGAGCAAGACTCGAGCAAAGATCTATGGGAGCTTTGAGCATATAACTA